TATATATGTATGTATGTATATATATGTATATATGTATGTATGTATATATATGTATATATATGTATGTATATATATGTATGTATGTATTTGTATAATTTTTTGTGTGGACCCCAAGTACCAGTTTGCAGTTTGAGAACCACTGGTTTATAGTGCATGTGATCTGATGTCAGTAGTAGCCAGGCATATGTTGCATTCTGGGATGCAGTAGATGAAACAAACCAGTAATAAAGAACTGATAGCATATTTAAATTTCCAATAGAGTTTTTGTTTTATTTGCTAGTTGCTCCTTTCTATCAGTCGGTTCTCTAGAGGGCTCTGAAAAGCAAAACGCTGTACTTTGAAAACATATTCCCAAAATCCATTCAGGTTTCTGCTCTTACAGTTTGGTCTGAATTAAAGCCCAGAAACTGTAACTACCATGTTGCTGTCTAGCTCAGAACAGAGAACCGTCTTAACGTAGTTACTTTGTTTATGCCTGCTGCAGACGCAGGTAATTAATTAGCAGAGTGGATGTTCTGTCGTGGTGACACATTTTTTGGTTCGTTTAGATTCCGCTTGCAGTTTTCTTTGTGTGGGAATAAACCAAGACACAGATAAAAATAGAAATAGTAATAAATCCGCAAATACAAAAAAAATGCATTAACTGATTCTGATCTGAGGAAAAGAACTAAAGGTGTGAAAATGTGCTTAAAATCAGGATATGATCTATTCCTGAAATATGATCAATCATACACTAATAATTTTGATGCTGATGATATTTATGTGTAATCTTCCATCTACAGCAGGACTAATCAAATGTTTCTAATGCGTTACAAGTTTTGTGCCAGCTGGTGTTTTAAAACAGATGGTTACTGGCACCTCTGAGAGAATCTCTTCCCAGTCCTTTTCTTGTCAGAGTCGTTCCTCGTTGCTCCTTATTTGACTCTCAGATAACCTCCTTTCTCCCTCCTCCCCTCTCTGGATCTAAGGTCAAATGGCAGGTGACCACACCCAGCTGGAGTTTCATAACATTGAGACGGGCATTGTGACAGAGAAGCGCTTCATGTCCATGGTGCCCTCCAACTTCATTGGCCACCTCCAGAGCCTCTCCTTTAATGGCATGGCCTACATAGACCTCTGCAAAAATGGGGACATTGATTACTGTGAGCTCAATGCAATGATTGGCTTCAAGAGCATCATTGCTGACCCAGTCACCTTCAAGTCACGGTCCAGCTACGTGACACTCACTACCCTGCAGGCCTACTACTCCATGCACCTTTTCTTTCAGTTTAAAACCACCTCCCCTGACGGCCTCATCCTTTACAACAGCGGTGATGGGAATGACTTCATCGTGGTGGAGCTGGTTAAAGGGTAAGTATCTCTGTCCTGTTTGACTATAAAAATTTTAAAAAGAAAGTATCAGAGATACATATATATATATATATATATATATACCTGTACAGTTGTCCCTTGTTTATCGCGGGGTTTAGGGGCCACCCCACCCCACCCCTGCATGCGCAATAGGTGAAAAAACACAAAATAGGGATAAGATAAGATAAGATAGCACCTTATTGATCCTGCAGGAAATTGTGCCAGAGTTTCAGTACAACAACTACACATTTTAACACTATATTAATTAAACAGAATGTTAAATATGTTATAATCAATTGGTTCATAATTTAATATTTTTTCTCAGGATATTGTAACAAATTATCTTAGTTTTTTTCTTCTGCTTTCACTTTACTTTGCCAGCAGTTTGTTAAATGACATTTAATCAACAAGATGAAGCTAACTGACCTCAGCAAACTGAATAAACAGCTTTAACTCAGGCTTTTTGTTTTATAGATACAAAGATATAATTTGGAGTATAAGAGACATTTTCCACACATAACATGAGCACTGATAGATGTGCAATATTTGTTCATAATCTTGACATTAACAACTAAATTAATCCTTTTCTTGATGTTAGCAAAATAGTCCATGAACCACAAGTTGCATTGTAATGAAACTGTCACAAAAAGTCCTTGGTTTTTCATCCATAACTCGATGGTGTTAAATCAATTCAAGGTGTGTATCACAGCTAATCAATTTCAGCATCACAGAAATGGCTGTAACTCAGTCAGATTTGCAGATGTTGAGTTAAAATGTTGCATGCTAATAGTCTTTTCTTTCATATACATTCAGCTAACAACTCAAGGAAGATTTTAATGTTATTTATTTGGCATGTAAGGCAGCAGGGAATATGCATTTCTTCAATAATTCTTTTGTTTATGAAGTATTAAGCAACATTTCTCTCCCCCCCCCCCCCCCAGTCTTTCCAATACTCCTGTGCTGCCAAATCCAGTCATACTGTCAAATCTGTTTCCAGTTACCTTCATTATGTCTCTGACTTGGGAAATGGAGCCCACCTGATCAAAGGCAACTCAAATAAACCTCTCAGCGACAACCAGTGGCACAGCGTCATCATCTCCCGGGACACCAACAATCTCCATACAGTCAAGATCGATACCAAAGTCACTACGCAGACGACCACAGGAGCCAAAAACCTGGACCTGAAGGGTCAGTACCCAAATGGAATTTATTAACAATGCATCTGGTTTTAAGATCAGAACTAAAAGATGCACATTTGTGACAACAAAGTCCATGCTCAATAATCCAGGTATAAAATCCAACATTTTTCATTCGGGTCATCTGGACAGTTTCTTTTTTTGTGCTGAAACGTTTCACCTTCGATCCAGAAGGCTTCATCAGTCAAGGAAACACACAACAAAACTGATTCTTCCTCCAACAGCTTACTCCAAAGTGGAACAAACAAGTTCTGCTTGTGATAAGATGGTCTCTTTGGTACGCCCCTCCTCCATTGCCGGCCCTCTTCCTTGTTGACAGTCTCGTCAAACTGGTTGAAAACAACAAAGTCCATGCTCAATAATCCAGGTATAAAATCCAACATTTTTCAGTCAGGGAGAATCAGTTTTGTTGTGTGTTTCCTTGACTGATGAAGCCTTCCGGATCGAAGGCGAAACGTTTTAGCACAAAAAAAGAAACTGTCCAGATGACCTGACTGAAAAATGTTGGATCCACATTTGTGATTAAAATGTTTGTCTCCCATTCATTACCTGCATTTTACCTTGAGATAGAAATAATTTGCTCTTTTACCACAACAACTGTAATTTCAGGACTATTAAGTGCACCTGAAAAAGCCACGCCCACTAAATTTAAAAATAACTAACTAAATTGTACATATATAGGCAACACTTGTATATACAGTAAGCCGCAGGTGTCCATGTTGTGATGAGATATTTACACAGAAAGATGTTTTTAAACTTTTAATTAAACACATACCACTAACATACACAAATACGTTACAGTAAATGTTTTTGTAACTTTGTTACCCCCTCCCTGGGGGCACAACGGGGAGGGGAGGGGAGAACAATGAACCAACTTTCAATGGTCCACTGTCACCTGTTCTGTAATTTCATTAGTCAGATTATTTTAACCTTTATTTATACAAGAGAGACATACATTGAGCAGTTATGTGAGCACCCGGTTGTGACGAGGCTAAATGCTTTGGCTGCCTGAAGCTCGTTAACCTGTCCAAAAACAGAAATTCATAAATTAGCCGCAGCATTGTATAAGCTGCGGGTGTGAAAGCATGTAAAAAAAAGTATTGGCTTATAGTCCTGAAATTACGGCAATTATCTCTATTCATGGAAAATGCTTTTTTATACAGTAACCTTGTACAATATTTCTTTAACATAACACAATTAACAACATTTAAAAGTGCTTTACGTGAAGTAAATTGGTTTAATTAATGCTCTACTTTAAAACATCACTTTTTTTCTGTAAAATAATCTGGATGAGACAGAAGAAAGCATTTGGGAAATTGCATACGATCACATGGCGGGGGGAAAAACAAGAATAATTAATTCAACACTACTTGAAAGGTCTCTCAGGCACGAATGACGTTAATTAGGTTTTTTACTTCACTGTGTAAAGCTCGTTACTTTAACACAGAACTGTAAAATTAGTGATGTCATTTATTAGCACTAGAGGTCAGTGTCGTCTTGTTTTTATGTCTCTACAGGTAATCTTTATGTTGGTGGGGTGGCTAAAGAAATGTACAAGGAGCTACCCAAACTAGTGCATGCCAAGGAGGGCTTTCAAGGTTGCCTGGCATCTGTGGATCTGAATGGCCGCCTCCCGGACTTGATGTCAGATGCTCTGGACTGTGTGGGTCAGATAGAGAGAGGATGTGAAGGTGAGCACCTTTAAATCCTGCCTATGAGCCTGTTCTCTGCCGTTGTGTCAAACTGACTTCAAATATCACCATCAGAACTACAAAAAGTCTTCTATGTCCACCTAATAGAATATTTTCACACAGTTTTCTTTCTAAAAGGGTCTCAAAGTGTCTGTGAAACACCATGTACTAGAATCTTTTCAGCCTCCTACTTAGACAAACTTCACACACACTTAGTGAGTCACAGATACAGAGGGAGTCACGCTGGTAAGCTGTGGTGTGTAATTTGACATCCATAAAGTCTGTTAGTATGCTGTTAGGATGCATCACGCTCCAACACTCGTCCACAGGCAATCACTTCTGTCTCACTTGACTTTAATCTGATTATTCTCTTTGCCATATTTGTATTGTCACTGTTACTTTCTATTTTATCCTTATTCTGTTTGTTTTTTACTGTGCATGCATACTGGATCTTAGGTTTTGCCCAAAGCATTTCTTTTGAATTATGTATGAAAGCTTTGTTGCACGCATGAATATCATTTCCCCAGTCTAATGTGTGCACCATACCCTAAGACAATATTTGATTTCTTCTTTTTTTTTTTCTTCACTTTCATTCAGTTAGTTTATTTTCACAATTCATCCACCTTCTTATTATTGGATACTTTTGATTTGTTTCATGTTCCTGCAGAACAAATTTGCTGTATTTTCTGGTGTATAAGTCGCTCTGGATTATAAGTTGCATCAGTAAAAAAGCGTCATGAAGAGGAAAAAGACACATACAAGTCCCTTTGGTGCATAAGCCATATTTATTATGCATCACCGCTGACCTGTCACGTTTAAAACAGCTTCATTTTGACTGGGCAGTGCAGCAACATTCATCCATCCATCCATCGTGGCCAAAACCACTAGCTCTCCAGCGTTCCTCTGCTTGCACCAGCTGAATGAAGCGAGCGTGCACCGGAGGACTCATTGTTGCAATTCTTAGAAATTTAACAAGGTTAACACTCAAAAACAATTATTTGTTTGCTCCGAATTATAGCAAAGGTGTGTCTCAGTTTAACTTTTCCTTAATAAATGCACTTTAATACGGTGGCCCTAAGGTGCAAATGAACAACATTTGGAAAAAAAAAACAAAACAAAAAAAACAGAATTACATTAAGCCAAAGCGGACCTGGCCAAAACGGAAGTGGCCAAAGCGGAAATGTCCAAAGCGGAAGTCGCAAAATTGGAAGTGGCTGGAATCACATTTGGAAAAAAACAAAATTGCATTTGTAAAAACAGAATTACATTTGAAAAACACAACAAAAACACAGCAACATTTGAAAAAAACAGCATTACATTAAGCCAAAGCAGAAGTGGCCAAAGTGGAAGTGGCTAAAGTGGAAGTGGTCAAAGCGGAAGTGGCCGGAATCACATTGAAAAAAATGGAATTACATTTGAAAAAACTGAAATAATAAACTGAAATTATATAATTTATTGAATTATTCATTTTTTTCAAATGTAATTCCGTTTCTTCAAATGTTGTTCATTTACACCTCAGGGCCACCGTACTTTAATGGTCAAAACAGCTTCATTTCGCATGGGCAGCGCAGCGCCATCTATTCATCCATCGTGAGTGGAGCTGCTAGGTCGCCAGCGTTCCTCCGCCTGCACCAGCTGAGTGAAGCGAGCGCGCAGGGGAGAACTCGCTGTTGCAGTTTTTAGAAATTTAAAGCATCAGTCAAAAATTGTGATAAATATAGAAATAAAAAAAATTATACAGTATAAGTCACTTCAGTATATAAGTTGCAGGACTGACAAATCTATGCAAAAAAAAACTGTGACTTATACGCTGGAAAATATGGAAATTCAATTCAGCACTCAGGTGGCTGCATTAAACTTACAAATGTCACTTTGTGCCACTCAGGCTCAATGATTGCATGTCACACTGTAATGATTACGTTGTTAAAACAAGATGTGACTCAGAATTTTACAGAAAATAAAAGAAACATCCGCTTATTTCACATTTACTTCATGGTTTCTGACTCGTTCTAAGAACAAACATCCTTCCATTTTCCTCTCCTCCCCTGCAGTCTGTGTTTCTGTTTTTCCATGTCTGACACTTTGGTGCCGTTACTAACCAGCTGGTATACTTTTCCTTTCCTATTATTTTGCTGACAAAAGTTGCATTGATGAAAGCTGACTTGCAAGGTAGAAAGCTTTGTTTGATACAGAGTCTGGTATCCCAACCTACCCCACCCCCACCTCCCGTTTGCATCTGCAGTACCTCTGCCCTCCCCAGTCTTTTTCAACACAGGTGTCACACGTTCTGTCACAAGATGACTGCCTGGTTTACCATTCACCCACCTGCCATCAAGGATGGCCAGAGTCTCATTGAAATACAAGCGTCGCCATCTTGTATCGGATTTTATGGGGCTCATGTTTTGATTTCATGTCACCTGTTTTTTGTGTTTTAATCTTCACATATTTATATTTTTTTTATGGAAAAGTTATTTTCATTTTATGTATTTATTGGATTTATCTTTTTTTTTTTTTTGCATGGCTCATGAAAATCTCAACTAAAAAGTTCTATACTGCATGAATTTTTGGTTAAAAACCTTCATGTGTGAAGCGATTAAAATCTTTATTTTATTTTATTAAATTGTTTTGATAAATAACCGAAACATTGTGTTTATCAGGATTATTGTTTCTAGCACTTTGTTAGCGTTTGAAAAGTACGCTCCAGCTTTTCGAGATTCGGCCTTTCATAACTGCTCATCAGCAGACAAAGACAAAATGCTGAAATAGTTTTAAATACATTGTTCTCCTAAATAATCAAATCCATTATTGTACCCAAAGCAATCCTACTACAATATTTGTAATTAAAATATATATTTTGTGCTTATTTGTTAACAATATTGTTTGATGAATTTACACCTGGACCTGTTGAGGTTTGCAGAAGAACCTGTAGGTTATAAAGAGTGGATTAT